TTCAGTGATAGGAACAACATTTTATGAAACAAGTGAACCAGACAGAAAATTTACAATTGTGACATTTTTAGTCAAATAAAAATGGTCCGATAAAAGAAGTAATATTTTATATCAAGTACCAATTATACATATGACATAAGAAGTAAAAGCTATATTTTATTTTTACAATACACTTCTATTTGACCTGCTAACCTATTATAGTAATATAAATAGATACTCCGTATATATATATATACACTTCTATTTGACTCTCATATTAATAAATATACCTAGTACATACATAGTATAATACTACTACACAAATGCTCCGTAATATATGCTCATGCACATACGTATGCAAACGTATACACATACGTTATACACCTATGCAAACTTTCTCTGCGTAACCCCCAACTAAACAAGGAAGGCTCATAAGTAGGGAATAACTATACCCGATTCGTAACGCCATAGCTAGAACCTTCCTACCTGGTATATATATACCCATCGAGCGACGCCCCTGCAACCTGCGAAGGAAACAAAGACCAAAAGCAAACCTAACTTAGGTTACTACATAGCGAACCACGAACGGCACTGGAAACCTTCTGCTAAGGGCATATATATATACACACATATACATAACGTCTACGCCGTACACAAACATATGATTGAATCCATATATCATACGTACGCTACACGTCCTTCTGCAAAACCCAACGAGAGGAAGGCAAACTGTGCGATCTAGGCTCTTGCTTCGTCGGACGAGGATGAAGCGAAGCTTCGACGGGGATACCGCAACGACGCCGGAGACGGACTCTGACCTTGCCGCCATTGATGTCGGAGGAGCTGCTGCACCATAGAAGTAATTTCTATCTGTTCGCCGGATTTTCTGCAACCGGAGAAGCTGCTACGTCGGAGAAGACCACGGCGACGCCTGTCAAGGAGAAGGGAGGACGCCGGAGAAACCCGTACTAACCACGCCAGAAAGCAACCAGACTCGTCGGACTTGTTCATGGCCGAAGAACGAAGAAAGAGCCTTCGATCTGCGTTGCAGCGAGAAAAGACTGAAGAAGGGAAGGTCCGATGCCGGAGAAGACACGCTGCTACCATCGCCTGAGAAAGGAAGTTGCTGACCAAACCGCCTTCGCCGGACAAGAAGGAGCTGCCAGGAGATTAGCCCAGGGCTGAGTGGCCGGACCATCTTCCCCAGGCTGATGTGAAGTTGAAGTCGAGAGAACGTTCCCAGCATGATGGAAGCTGCAGCGTAGCGTCGATTGTCGCATTCGTTGTTGGTCGTAGGACGAAGAAGACGTCGGCTACTGTACATGTACGTCCTTTGGTCCGTATCATATTTTATGTTGTTGGGCTGGGCTGTTAAAATTAAATGGATTGGGCTGCTATATTGTTGAACTGGGCGGACAGCTTTAATTATTTAGGTGGATGACTATAAATCAAATAAATCATCATGGATTATTATAGAGTTTGATTACAAGAGGGGGAATGTATAAGTAAAGGGTAGATGGATTTAACTATAAATTGATATATATTTATATTAGAATTTTAATATTCTTAGAAGGTGAATTTGGAGAAGATCGAGATAAAAACTTCCGTTAGGATTAATCGCGATTGGAGGTAAGTTTCTCTGCCAACCTAAAATTGTTTCCTCGTATTATATGCTTATTATGCATTATGTGAATAAGTGTGAATTGTTGAATTTTGTGTATGTGATTTTTGAAGAGATATTATATATATGGTAGTTGAGAAATATAAATTAAGTACTTTGGGGGTATTAAATATTTTTAAATACCTTCAAGACTCTTTAGAGAAATTGAGAAGTATTTTTGAAGTATTATTTATTGAAGATAAAATTTACATTTTCATAACAAGTGAACATCTCGGGAGTAATCCGAGGTGTCGGTTTTCCACGTCCGGATAAATGTGGAGGGTGATTAGGTCTGCTACTACTAAGAAGTACAGTTTGAATTTAAAGTGATATTTGGATCGATGATCCCTTTTAAGAAGAAGTTATGGTAGTAGTAGTCCCTAATCATTCAAGATATCTTATTCAGGGGTAGTTGGTAGACTGAGTCCCGACTACTCGTTATGACTTACTACTCGGAGGGCTTGGAATCCCTTTTAGGGGGTGTGCACACTTAAGGTAGTCGTTTCGTTTCCAACAGAGCAGTTGTGGTACTGGCATTTGTTCGGGGTGGCCGTCCGTAACCACGGTCCACCGGGCTCTACCGAAAGGTTGAGCACCGCCCTTCTAAATTACTAGGAAGTTAGAGAAGAAGTGATTTTTGAGGAAATCAAAGAGAAGAGTTATTATGAAGTTTTATAGAGGAGTTGAGGATTTTTTTTGTAAAGAAGTAGCCTTGAGAAAAATCAAAGTGAAAAGAATTTCGATGGTGTGAGTATTTTTATATATTATTATATAAAAATCTATTTTAGTCAAACATGATTATTTTATAGGGTTGGGTAGTACTTACTTAGCTCTAAAGCTAATTTTTGTTTTCTTTTCCTTGTTTTGTTTCTGCACTTTATTTGTGCAGGTGAGGATGATGTTGTCGAGTGATGATTGCTTGCATGGCCCGAGAGCGAGTTAGAAGTCGCCTTAGTTATACTAGTCATGAAATAAACATTTACTTTTCAAACACTTTAATTTTATTAAATTAGTTGTTATGTTCTAGTTGCCTGTGCATCCGGTTGAGAGATGACCGGATGTGGCGGTAACACCCATTTCCCTATTTTAGACTTCCGCTGTATTTCTTTAACTCTTTGATGAATAAATAAAAGTTTTATTTCAATTATGTCAACGTTTTGGGTGGGAAATTTGGGGGTGTTACACCTCGGACTCGCTAGATTGAGAACTAGCACTTGAGGATTCCCCCGAGTCGGTATTTGAGAATTTATTCTTTAACCGCTCGAGAGCTTTTTCTATTTCGGGGTTTGTTTGGTAGGTGAGTTGGTTTATGGATCAGGTTTTTACCATATACTCAAACAAAGCTCAACAAAAATAGAAAACTTTATATACTATTTTTTTTTATTTTTCTTTGAAATAAAATAAAAAGAAAAATTAATTGCCTTTCCCCGCAACGGCGCCAAATTTGACGAGCACTTTTGTCACGGTGCGTCAAAATAATTTCAATACTAAACACTTATACGTAGTATAGCGTAGTAGAGTTCGTATCCACAGGGAAAGGAATGATTTTCTTTCTATGAAACTAGTAATTAAAAGGGGGGTTTTGGTTTTGAATGATTTAATTCAATTAAGAAACTAAGATGAACAACCTATATGTGTTTAATTCAAGAATAAAAGGGACTTGGCTTTGCTACTTTCCACTTGTTGATATATTTTAGTCGATCCTTGTTATATCTATAACTTATCCCCTCTCGAATACTCAATCGAGGAGTATCTCCAATTCATCGAGGGTAGTTATTAACAACGACCGTTCATTAATAACTCTTACTATTAATCAAATATAGAACAACGCCGTATACCGATATAATAGTAGCATTCAATCTTTTTAATTCCTTGATGAAATCAATTGAGATTGATAACCTTAACACAACGGTTTCGGTTTAACCAACAAAATTGATCCCTCTTAAGTCTATTAACCACGATCGTGCATTAATAAACCGAAGTTACTTACTTGTGAAACCACCAACGATTAACCATCGGTTCATTGATCGTTTCTAGTAGTAATTAATGTCGGAACGTTAACTAATCGTCACTTAGCAACCCTCCAACATTAATATAGAATGAGATTAAGGGAAGAATTAATAATCAAGAGAAGAAGTTAAGAAAATAACTCACAACTTTAATAATCAACAAGCTTCAAGAGCAAAACCAAGAATGAAAGTTTAGCTCCTCATTTGGAGGCTAAACATAGCTAGAAAAATATAAAGAAATGCTATTCTAAACTGAGCTAAAGAGATTGGAAGAAGGGATGATTTTTAGAGGAGAAAAAGAGTGCTATTTTTAGGTGTTTTTCAACACCTTTGGCCGGGTACCCGACCGGATATAGGTACATACCCGACCGGGTACCGGTCAAAATCAGATAATCTCCCACGTTTCATTAATCCAGCACGTTAATTTGTCCCGGGTCAAGTCAGACCCGACCGGGTCAAGTGAGGGACCGGACCGGGTTTGGTCTAAATCATATTTTTTTCCAAATCTTTGTGATCTTCAGCATGTTCTGGTGTTCCGGGTCATATCTGACCCGACCGGGTCGGGTATGGGACCCGACCGGGTCTTACTTTTTCTTCTTAGATCTGTTCCTCAACTGACCCGACCGGGTTCAAGGTCTGACCCGGTCGGGTTTTTGTGCTCCTGGGTCTTTTTGTCTTCAGTTTTTCTCCCTTTTTCCTTGCTACAAACTCTATCACTATTCTATAACTCCGAAAAGAAGGAGAGAACAATTACAAACAAAATAAAACAAGTACTTACAAACTAACTAAAAGTGATGGAAAATCCACTCAATCAACATAAAAACATATGTTTATGAACTATAAACTAGTGCATATCAATACCCATTGTGAAACAACACCTCTTCTCATGACTATGCATTTCATCTAGATCATGCCGAATTCATTTTTCTCTCGATTCGTCATTGTTAGTTCTTATAATTATGTCATCATTTTTCATAGGGTGTCCACACAATGATTATGCATCGATTTTTCTCTGATATCATACTAAAACTTAGAGTTCTATCCCAAAAAGTGCCAACGTTTTAAACCGAGTTTCAAATTCAATTTACTTTGAAAGACTATGGAACATATATGCATGCAAAAGCACGCCAACCATCTTAGATAGCCTATGATATATGGTTTTGGTCGGTGTACACATTTTTCGTACATTTTGCACATTTATGTGTACACAAATAACTCTCAATTTTTTTTTAAATGAATCGACTCAAAATAGAGGTGCATGCAAAAGTATAGATAAAATGTGTAGAAATAGATATTTCCTACCATATGGCTATAGCACATGGAGCATGTTGGGAGAAAAATATTGACCTAATAAATGAATTTAGATCAAGTAGTTCAATACAGAACTTAACAATAATCAATTTGTTAGCAAAAGATATGATATTAATCAAGTCGCATATTCTAAACTACCAATTTTTTCAGGAACAGATACAAATTGAATAGAACCCTAGATTTCAAGAGCCCTAGTAGGTTTACTTGAATTCATTGATGCAAGCAACCTATTAATTAAGCAACATCTAATTAATTAAGTAGGTTTACTAAAAGCTTAAAACTCTTGGATCTTCCCCACCATGCATCATTATATTCCCAAAGTCAATTCCCGAACCTAGCTAGGTATCACCCTGGTGAAATGCTTTTCTGCTTCCTTCATGTTATCTTAATTATCATAAAACAAAGCACAATTCCACAAGGATTGCTTCAGGTGCGTTCTTGACTTCTTATTCCTTTCCCACCCCTTCCACTTCAAAAACCTGCAAAACGCCCAAAGAATAAGGAAAGCTATATGCCCTTAACTACCTTTGCTTTTTTTTTAAACCAGAAGCAAAATCAGAATCAATTTTCAGAAGATTGTTTCAAGCTTCTAAAAGACCGTTTCTAGGAGCAATTTGAAGCACCCAGAGGAGCAATTTGAAGCACGCAGAAGTACTCCTGCACTCCCTGCCAAACACTTCAACATCTTCTACTTCCTCAAGTAGGAGAAGCGGTTTTAAGAAGCAAATTCAAACACCACTAAGTCATTATTGGGAGGAAAACAACGAATACAAAAATGTAAAGTTAGTCTCGAAACTTGCTTGTAGATTCTTTTGCAGGGAAGTGTGCTGTCTAAAGGAGAAGTCCTAGTCATTGTATTAAATCTACAAGCGAACAAAGTTATATGACTAATAGCGGCAACCATCAAAAGATTATGTTATGTTTTACGAACAAGCAAGTCAATAACAATTGTGTTATGTTTCATGAACAATGAAAAGAGTCTGAAACTTACATCTTTTCTATGAGGTATTTCATGCAGGGTCACAAGCAACAGCGCCTTTGATCCTTTCGACAGTGCACTTAATAAGGCTATTGACAGTGGCGACCGAACCAAGAGAGAGTTTAGCGGTAGGAACAGAATCAACCAAAATCTGGAAGGCAACTGTGAGAAGTGAACCGCCAGTTCCGATCTCAGTGTTTAAGCCCCCGTTGGTTGTCGGGCCGTCCGGGAGGATGGCGAAGCCGGAGGGAAGGAGGGCGACATAGTCAGGGTCACCCCCGCTTAGGACCACATTCATGGCCACAATGTCAACTGGAGCATATATCACAAAGGACCCTGTTGCGTCTGTGCAACTCTCTTGTAGTATGAGCATATTGCTTTGGCTTGAATTAGCACTCTGTGATCCATATATAGTGGGTAATGAAATTAGTGTTTATGTATTGAAAAAAAACATGTAGTACTCTATCTGTGATCTGTCCTAAAATGATCATGGTATTTGTTTTCATGCAATTGTGTTATACTCCCTCCGTCCCAAAAAATACTTCCCGGTTTGAATTGGCATGTTTATTAAGAAAGTGGAGTAAAGTGGAAATGTATAGTTGTAGTTATGTAAGAAAAATGTAAAATGAATGTGAACCACACAAATTGTCTAAAAATTGAAAGTGAGAAGTATTTTTTGGAACGGAGGGAGTACTACGTAATAACAAAAATGGTACCACAATGATAAAACAAGTCAGTATCCTAAATATACTAAAATGTTTCTCAATTCATGGTACTATGGTAGTGCTATTAGTATATCTCCTTAACTTATTTGACATAACAGGTTTGAACTTGCCTCACTTTCCCCAATAAATTATGGAGAGAAAAGTGTCAAATGGGCCTTAAAATTTTTTAGAGCCCAAATAGTCTGACCAATTTGGAAAGAGTTAAAAATTGTAATTGATTTAATTATTACAAAAGATATTAATGATGAATGATGATTACAAAAGATATTAATAGCACATTGTTGAGAATATTTGATGGTGTCCAATTTAGTTAAATATCTTTGTATTTGTGTAGTTATTAATTAAATGTGTAATATGAGCTACAAATGTATATCAGCCCGTTAGCTTCTTTCTAATCCATAAGTTAGCCATCCTCCTCTCCTAAAAGTCTATTAGCTTCTTTGTAACCCATATCCTGCTTATGATTGTTTGATTGTTAGAAACTGGGTCTATCACACATAACTCAGAATAACCTCATTAACGGGACAAACTACTAAATACACATATTTTTCTCAAATTCAAGTGAAGTTCATATTCTTTAGCAGGATCATTTCAACCAGTGTCAAAGTGGTACCATGTTGAAATAATTTTATATATTTAAGGTACGGATTCATTTCATTGAATAGTTAAAATATCAAAATGAATCATTACTAAAAGTTATATATTGTATCATTTATGCAATTAGTCTCCACATTCAAAATTAAGTTATACGTAGTATAAAATTAAAACTAAACTTTTTTATAGGATGCTCCGTATTGTGGTTTGAGAATGTTGAATACTACTTGCTCCACTTTCTAATTTGACAAATATTATCATATCAAATATATAATTATATTGTCCTTATTGATAGTTTCCTTCGTAATCTCTCTATGTTTTGATCTACTATATGTGAAACAAATTAATCAAGTGTATGTTCACATTATTGATCAGTTCGTAGTACCGAGTATATGAATGAATACTTCATTGTCAAAATCAAGCAATTAATTAAATATGACATCAAAAGTCAAATTATGTAGTTAATTTCGTTAAGATGGAGTACTATTTTTATTAAAGGAAATAGAGTTTGCACGAAACAACAATAAAAAATCGCCTAAAAGAATCGGTAAAAAAGATTTAAATCGCAAGAAATTATATCCATGCATCGAAAGAGAAATAGTGAAAGTAAAATTAAGGTCAAAGATAAGAATAATTTAACAGTAAAGGGAGCAAGAGAGGAAATTTTTACTTATGAAATGCCTTACATTAACCCGGAGTAGAGATACACAGTTCCCTGGATCTCGGCCATTAGCAATGTGTGCCATTTCTTGAACAAGTCCACCATTTGAGAGAATATCCCACTGTTCATTTAATCATATATACATACATTAGGCCCTCACCCTCGTTAATAGCGGGGATTAAGATTAACCCAATCTAGGGTTTGAGGATAAAAACGAATAACCAGGAATCTTAAGGCTGTTTTTGATCCATTTGTTTAAGTCCGAAGTGTGCTCTAGTCATGTCTACTCTGATCTGTTTTTGTCTGTTTATATTAGTTCCGATCTTGTCGGGTGTTTATGCCTGGTCTAATTTTGGATGTGTTTGGCATTTAACGGATAACAGGTTATGTTACCGGACTCAGTAATCGGGGTTGACTAGGGGAATACGTTGGCGGGTTGCGGGACGATGTTTGGTAATTTAGCAGTCTGACCATAAAATTAGTAAAAAACGTCATTTTGAAAACGCTAACCCAAAATTCTCATATTTGTTGCGTTTCCATTTTAGCTGTTCCGTCCAAAAAAGCAAGGGCCGAATAACTATTTATGAAAACGATAAAGTGATGAAACCCTCATTTTTTTTGGCAGAAACCCCATTTTCCGAACACCGCTTTATGCAGGACTGAAACGGGTCTAATTAAAGAGATCCTAAATCAATAGAGCTAGGGTTTACCTCACTTCTTGAGTTTTCGTCTCGAAGGAAATCGAAAACCCTTTTTGGTGGGACCGGGAGCCAGAAAGAGGTGGCAGCGCTTAGCACAATACCAGGTGGTCTCCCAGGATCATCTATGCTCTTCCTAGTCATAACCCTAACATCATCTGCACCGCTCCCTGACAACGTTGTCCATGTATGAGCCGTTGATGCCCCCACTCCGGCACAGAAGCTCATCACCATCCTCTCAGCCAGCTTTAGCATGCTCTTTCTCCCCTCTGGACTTGTTATAACTGCATCCGGCCACATCATTTCCTAACTTGATTATGCTCAAATCGTAATTATTACTATTAATTAGTAGTACTACGTATTATATTATGCTTCCTTAGGTTTTGAAAAACAAATGGCATACCACCACCATCTACTGCTGGAATGCTGTTTGCCAATGCGCTCGCAAGTCGTTCGCACTGTCGGTCCAATGTTGCTATCCAGCGCTTCGCCCCGAACGCAAGGCCCGAGTTTACGAGCGGTCTGTATAAGCTACTAACCGCTCGATCATCCACCTCTACATGTTCGATCCATGTTACCTGCAATGAATAGGGGAATTGTGATTTTGATCATAAAAATAATGTAACTACTTTGTTGTGGCAGAGAGGGAATAAGTCATACTTCATCTGTATCCGTCCTACTGAACTTTGTAGTTTACTATTAATGTGCTTAAGAGAGTTTCTTTTGGTTTTAGATTTTAGATATGATTATGAATTATGACTGCTGATTTAAGTATCGCCTATGAATGTAATTGACAAGTTAAAATGGGACAGAGGGAGTATATAGTACTGGTTTACTATACCCTAGAGTAACCATTAGGCATTTCTTGGATTAAACAACCAGAAGGCCTTCTTCTACACCGCGAAATCGGGGAAGGGCGTAATGTGTCCAAGGAAACATCAACGACAGCCCACGTGCCATCCGAATGCTGCTTGCAGTATCTCACAAAGTAGTTTTCTCTTGTAGGGACAAGTGGTGAAGGGACTTGAAACTCAGCACTCATCTGATAAAGGTACACAATGAAATTCATAATGATTAGAAAGCCATTACTATACCAGGATAATTACTAGGGTTAGATTAATTAGTTAGTTACACACCACTTGTAAAGCTCCATTGTAGTTTCCTGCAACACCAGTTGACAAGACCTCCAAGGTGATTGCTCTTGAAACAATACCAGCAAACACATTTGCCCATTGGTTCTAAATTCAAAGATAGTGAGTTATTAAAAGCAGTGCTAATTAAAGATGGTTTAGTAGTTTTCCCATTCATTAAACATACAAGTGAAGATAACAGTGTGATTGAAGTAAATACCACATCCATGAGAATTTCGACGAGATTAATGTGGTTCATGATGACAACAGCAGACTCTCGTGAAGCTTCAGAGATCAATCCGAGCGGTTTCGGTCCAATTCCTCGAGGAAATGATCGGATATATTCATCCTCACATAAAATCTTAGTGGAGTTGTCTGGGCTAGAAACCCACAATGGCTCTCCAGCTTGAGCCATTCTAACCAGCTCCTCCATTGCAGCCACTGCCAGCTCAATGATCATCGGCTTGTCAGCATCGGTTGGGCCTGAGACTGACCTGAGAAGGTCACCAGTGCTGTACAAATCCCCTGACAGATGTCCAAAGTTTCCAACTCCGAGGTCAAGTGTACGGTTTGCCCCCATAGGGGGTAAGTTTGGAAACGAAAGCATTGGTTTTCCAACAAACTTTGCAGCAATTTGTGTAATTCTTTCAATCTACACATGTAAAACACCATACAATATTATGTTACATTCTGTAAATTCCATGTTATGAATTGAAATTATGATGACCTCCACAAGAAATCAGAATGTAATACTGTAATAGTGTAGAAAATGAAGTGTAGTCCTATAAAAAGGGTTGCCCTAAGTTCCCAAGTCAATTATGTCACAATGAGAGCATTCAAGTTTTATCATTAAAATCAGACTCGTTTACTCATAATTAATGTATAAAGTTCGTTTAAACTTCTAATTTCGGAGATACCGATTTGAATAAAAAAAGACAGTCCTAAACAAATTGTTAGGTTGTAGTCCTATTATTTATGTACCTCTTCTCTCAGGCGAACATTTTCAATCCTCAGTTGTTGTTCATCAAACGACATCTCCCCGATAGCAGCGGGCCCACCGCAGTTAGGACACGTGGCATTACTTAGAGCTTCTTGGTACCGTATGTTATCAGCCCGAAGCTTCTCATTCTCAGCTCTGAGTTGTGAGTTCTCACTGCGCTCATGTTGTGCCTATAATGCGAACAACCATAATAGCAGCATTATTTCTACACTTTAATGTGAAATAGCTTTAATAAATAGATCAAGTCAAAGATCATTCCTTTTTACAGCATTCAATATCCTTAAATTCAGATATTAAAAGGAAAACTATTAAATTTGAAGGGAACCTTCATTTGAGTGCGCTTGTTCTGGAACCAAAACTTGACTTGTAGAGGCTCTAGGCCTAACCTTCTTCCAAGATCCTTCCTTTGCTTATCATCTGGATGAGGGCATTCTTTAAAAAACCTGTCACACATTAAATATATAATAAATATATAATTCCAAACTAATAAGATCATTCAATTTGTTAATTAATTAATACAACAATATAATACTAGTGATTAATTAATAACCTAACACCAAGGCCTTACGCAATTAGCATCATAACCTATGATATCAGAAACTCATCATCACTTTTTTTTGGTATACCAACGTAACAAAATACTGAGTCAATTCTGGCAACAACAAAAGATACTGAGTCAATCGAAGTCAAGCCCGTTGAATTTATTATTAATTGAAATTATTACAAGATTATAATAGATCTTATGCCCATCATCATTCTTGATTGGGATAAGGAAAAGTTAATCAATAACCATAAATTCAAACATATACAAATGTGTACTAGTAGTACATTAATACATTATATTGTTCTAATTTTATTAATTTAATTTAATACTCACGATTCCATTTCTTGGATTTGGTGTTGAGTGTGGCGATGGTAACGCTTCTTCTTGTTAGGGCGTTGATTGGGATCTTGATCGTCGCCGGACGGCGGTTCCATGATATCGGTGCCGGATTTGCTCTCATATTCTTCATCTCTGATGATATCATCAAACTCATTTTCTGGGTTTTTGTGACTGCTCATATCCAGCAGATGATGGTGATGATGGCTTTCATACATGTTTGGCTGAAACATCTTTCAAGCTGAATCAAAACTACTTCTTCAACTCTTACAGATCTGAAAATCCACAGTTTACCCAAATTAAAACGTTATATAATAAACAAGATAAAGAATTTCATAAAAGAAAAGAATAATCATAGACACAACATTTTTTCCTTAAAAGGGTAGGCATGTTGGTTCATCTCAGAAAAGGAAATTAAAGGTAAGCAAAAAGTCATCATTACTTCTGGGTTTTGAGGTTCCCAAAGTCTTACTTACTTATAATACGAGGTCCGTCGTCGCAGTCGCCGGAAACTTCATAAAAGCCCGGCCGGAGGCCGGAAACTATATATATAATCTCTTGCTTTCTTTAAGAAACCCTAAAAGTTCGACCTACCCTCTTCTCTCTCTCATAGTGTACATATATATATTTATAGGTTTGACTTGTGTTTGTAGGATGTGGAAACCGAGGTTTTTCCTCCTTGTCTGTCTGTCTTGACAGCAGAAAGACTGAAACGATAAACTTAGAATATTATTATTATTATTTCTACTAGCTATTCTTTTTCTTCTTCTTTGAAGTTGATAATAATAACAATAAGTTACTCAAACAAAAATCTCCATAATATAACGTCAGCGAACATATCGGTTCTTGTCTTCTTGATCAAGCTCCGAACTTGCCGGACCCTTCTTCAACTGTTTCTGCAAATGAAAAAATATTTCATAACGGAAACTTTTTAGACAGCTAACGTAAAACCCACAAATGAAACTGGCGAATAAAAAGTAAGACTGATTTTCTTGGTGGTATAATATATATGAGCTTTATTACCGGGAGGTCAGATATGGATCTGATATGGCGTGAACTGTGAAGGGAGCGGAAAACCCAGACTTAGGTTTCCCGTGAGTAGAATTTAAGAGGAAGAGGAAGAATGAAAAGAGGAAAGGGAGGGGGGAAGCGATGGAGAGGGTGGAGTAGATCGAAGATGAGGAAGAGAATGGGAAGGGGTAGAGAGGAGTTATTGCAGAACGTATTGAGAAGATGAAATGGCATTTATTATGGTGTTGGGGGTGTTAATGACACCATATTGCTGTGTGTGTGAGAGAGAGAGATATGGGTATGGGTGAATATATGGTGATCAAACCGCTCATGGATACTACTACTACTTCTCCAAACATGAACAATATCACAAATTATCTGGTTTGGCAATCTACCGATGTGTGTACTCTACATGCAAAAAACAGACATTAATGTGTATATTCGATCATTGTACTCTGCAATATTGTATTAATATTGCATCTTTTTTTATCATTGTTCATTAACACCTTAAGACCATTTATGTGTTTTTGACACATAGACTATTATGCTTTTTTGTTAGCATATCCTGACTTCGTCCGACTAATCTTGATCTCTCAAGAGATAGAACTCACCCCGAAAAGTAAAATGACCTAATCTAAAGAAAATTGTAAAACCCCCTTTTGTCAAAACTAACATGCATAATAAATTAATAATAATAATAATAATAATATTTCAAAATATTTATAAAAAGTTGTAAGACCCTCTTCTACCTAAACCAATATTATTAGGGAAAGTTCCTGAAATAGGACTAAAATAGTTTGAAAATTCCAAAATATGATTGTCATGTTTTTATTCCCAAAATAGGACTAATTACTGTCATGTTTTGGCAGTACCAGACTTCAAACATGACAGTATTTTTTAAACTTAACAATAATTACTCCTATTTTGGGAATAAAAAACATGACAGTCTTATTTTTGAATTTTCAAACCTTTTTAGTCCTATTTCGGGTAATATTCTCATATTATTATAGTATCTGTGGTCCTTATTTAGGAAGAAAACAATGGTGGTCTTATTTGTGCACTTTACCAATGTTTTAATCATATTTGAAGAATTAACTCTATTACTATCAACTTCATAATTCCCCCCTCCAATGTTGTGATGATTCTAAATCATTTCATTTTCAATAGCTAAATCATTCATTTCTTTGCGTTCTCATCTTAAAGAAGACATTCATAATTTGACTTCTTTACTCAAACAAATTAAACTTTTCCATTGAACCTTTTTTCCTTAGAGCCGTTTTCTCTAACATTCTCTTCTTTATCCTATCTAAATTCAATCGTTTTTATTACACCTTGAAATTAATTAAATTTATATGTTTAATTAAAATCAAAAAATTGCTTGCCTAACAAAACTAACAAATTATAACACCAAACACTTAATAGATAACAATCAATAATTAAGAAATCAATCAACTATGAATGAAATCAATTAATAAACTTATCAAATAATTATATCAGACTAATCTGCTTCCAAGTGAAATTATTTTAGGAAATTTTGTGAACATATTTTTCATCAAGTGTAAGTACGTTCACAAAGTTTCGGTTTAACAATCAATTGAGAGGTTAGTTAAATAAGTTATATATAAACAATGCGCCAAATATGCACAAAAAACGCAGTGTCCCAATAATTTATTTAACTAGATGACTTCTAGATGGAATTTTAAATGTTTTTTTTTCAAAAAATTTACTCAAATAAAACTTATTTACACAAATAAGACTAATAATTACTACAATGTAATAACATAGTAACTTAAGTTTAAAAATTGAACATAAGTTACTATGATTAATTTCATTACTACGTACTCTTGTCACTAGTCACATTTTTATAAACAATTTTTTTTAGTCATAAATATGTAATTATTTCCTAAAAATTTATGGACATAATCTACACTTCATAGAGAACATGCTCAAAAAAATTCATAAGAAATCCACTTGGAAGCACATAAAAAAATTCCACCAGAAAATTATTAGTTTATGACTGAAAAATTAGTATAGTCACACCTGTTACAAAGAGTTGTGCCTATTTTTTTCATTTTTTGGGCATAGGGCCTCTGCCCCCTGCCTCCTGCCCCCTGCCTCCTATTGCTGCTCTTGATCAACATGTACAACAAATCGCTTTTAACTGATTGATTATGCATGTCCTCAGATTCCCAACATTGTTTTGGGACAACTGTGGTTAAACACCCCCGGGTTTCTAGCAAGAAGCTAACATCACACTGCCGCTTGAGGCGATAATATAACTAGATAGAGAATTAGTAATTATGTGCTTCTAGTCAAAGGCGAGATTAAACAATGGTTGTGCGAACATTCAAGCTAGATTTGAGGGCTATAGCTTGTCATTTGAGAAAATCGACTTAAATTTACCTTCTTGGTGACTTAAACTGAAGACCTCCCAACATGGGGAGGATGTTAAGTGTGGCAAATGGTCACACTTGAACCACTCTCACTTGTAATAGACTAATATCTTTTAAACTATCGATCATGTACGTGTTACACTTTGATGTTTTTTGTGGTTGTCGATGAGGTCTTATGCAACAAATACCTATATGTATTTTACTTATAATAAAAGGTAGATGAGAAAAATACCTAAATAAAACTTGTATTGAGTTTAGATTAACTAGGGGTTGTTTTGGATATTAGTTCCTCTAATACACTGTTAAAAGCAAAATGCATGAATGCATTGACACATTACTATACATTGACATAACATTGACCGATTATCACATTGACTTGTGAATTATCAACACAATTTGTCACATAAAAATCTCTTTCACATGTGTTATTTAAAGCAACTTTTTCAAAAATGTAATTTTTTCTTTCTGTGCATGAATTACTACCACACATGAAACTTTTAAAGTCAGTAAGTGTATGGTTGTGTGTGTACACTATATAGATAGTGGCATTCACAAAATTTAAAAATATTATTTTTATATAACTCAAGGGAATGTTTATTAAAGAAAAGTAAACAATGCCTTTAACATAGTAGATACAATTGAGATAGATAATTAGAAAGAAAAAAAATGGTATATCGCTCAAGATCGAAAAGAATGTTATGCAAAAATAACCCCATTTATTTATTGGTCGAAATTGGAGATTTCCTACATGCTACTAGAGAAACATCCTATCGCTACCTCACCATTGATTGCCTTCTCCATGTATAGATTGAGCGATCGACTCTAGAATCCACTCCCAGAAGCAAGAAGACTCATGAAGCAAAAGAGCCACTCCTAGATCACTAGAATGACATGAACAAGCGACGAGCGAGAGCGATTGAAAGCCACCTTCCCTAGGCACGGTCATGACATTTTATGGGCCCCGTACATTATCAATAGAGTAGGTTGCATAGACATTATTGTGTGAATGTTCATAAAAACGCTATAAGTAATGTTAAGCAATATTTCATCCAAATACGACTATAACACATCAAAGAAAGTAAAGAGTAGAGAGTATGAAAATTTATAATGAAGTATATGATAAGTGACATTTGAAGATACAATGTAGCTAAATTAGCCGAACGAAACAAGTAGTACAACGTAACTATTACTCGCAATAAAGAATTTTGAATTAGGGAGATGTGAAAGATATATTGTTTAAGGAGTAAGCTTTTCATATTTTTAATCACATTTTCACTTGACCAAAACAAACTACTTGTTTTTGAATAATGGATACAGTAGTTCAATCTTTCACTAAAATGAGAGAACTAAACAAAATAAGCAAAATACTATAAATGAATTATGTATATACATGAAAGAAGTAGACAAACAATTTAACATTTATGCGTTAACCCGTAATGAATCAAAAGAAAAGATATTGGGAATTGTATGATCTCAATGAATACTGATGCGAATGTTTCAAAATTTTAGACATGTGTAACGTGTAGATGTTGAATAAAGAAGTGAAAGTGTAAAAACAATTTATAAGTTTGACTATTTTTTTAAATTTTTTATAGATTTTTAATTGAATTATATATGTATATTTAATTGATAAATTTATGGAGCCTAGTGGAGCAATGGGCCCTGGGCGCACGCCCCGTTGCCCATGTCTCAGAACCGGCCCGGCATTCCCTCAAAATTCATAATTGAATATCTTGATAGAGAAGGTTTGGTTCTAATAAACTAAGCATATTCAAAGTAATAAATTTCTATCCCTCGGTACCAGGCCATATTCAAAATATTATTGTGAAATTTCTTAATCTCATTACAATTTTTAGTATATGGATTGGTACTGCTTGAATTTGACATATGAAAATCGACGAGATCATCACGTGATATGAACTTATGATATCGTAAGAGATTCTGAAAAATCCAATCATCATTTGAATATTATATGATGTGGATGTGCAATGAAAATTTTGTAACAATAACAAATATTTGTGTAATGATAGAATTTTCCATCTCCAATTAATAGCTCATAAAAATGCTTTATACAATCGCGAAGGGATGGGTATGCACATATTAAAGCTTCCTATTGACTAGTCCAAATGGTGTCATATCTTAGGATAGAGTATGTACAACATATCGAGAGGAGGAGGAGGCTTTGATACGTGATCAGTTCGTTCATGGTGGTTCACCCACAAAGACGGTGGTGGATATCTCTTGGTCATCACCGCCACCCGAGTGGGTTGCTCTCAATTCAGACGGGTCTGTTTTCATTAGACCGGATGAGCAGCCGCAGGAGGCTTATTCTGTGATTCCGATGGGCACTGTTTAGCAGCCTATACGATGAACCTGGGGATTCACTCAATCACCAGGGCTAAATTGAGAGCGGTTGTGATAGGTCTGCATATTGCTTGGGGGAGAGGATATCGTGGTGTACGAGTGCAGCTAGATTCGAGTGTTGTGGTTCACTTACTACTGGATGATCAAAGTTGAGCATATATATCGGGAGGCCAACCGGGCTGCCAATTTCTTGGATGGCCTAGGCCATAGTTTACCTTTGGAAAATGGACAAGAATAATCCCAACTATTAATGATCTACTTGAAATTAACAAAATATCAATGATATCAAATAATCCCAACTATTGAAAAGTCTTCTCAAAATACTCCAATTACTCATAAATATTATAAGTTATTTACGAATAATTATAAGTCACTGGGGTATTTCGCGAAGAGTTTTCAATAGTTGGGATTATTTTAAGATAATTGATAATTTGGATTATTTCAAGCAGATCACTAATAGTTGGGATTATTCTTGTCAATTATTCCTTTACCTTTTGGTGTTCACTTTATCACTACACATTTTGTATGATTTGTTAGGGGTT